ATCTCAGGGTCCTGGGATCGAGCCCCGCATCAGGCTCCCTGCTCCGCGGGAAGCCTGCTTCTCCCTCTCCCACTCCCCCTGCTTGTGTTCCCTCTCACGCTGTGTCTCTTTCTGTCAAATAAAATAAATAAATAAATAAATAACTTAAAAAAAAAAAAAAAGAATATTCATAGGGAGAGCTGGTGCAATGTAATAAGGCTTCCTCCTCAACCACCCACCCCTACTGGCCCATCAAGCAATAACAGAATCTTTCTTGTTTACTAATTTAAAATAATATATATTTCACCAATGCTATCTTTAGATGCAGAGACTGATAACCCCTTCCTACTGTCTGGGACTGTGGGGGTGTCAATTTGCAGAGATCAAATCTCACTTGTTAACAAGAAAACAGATCTGTGACTATGGTGGCCATGGAGGGAAGAGTGAAGACAACTCACAACACACATACACATCTTCGCTTTTGAATTATTTTTTAACTGCTTTAAATACTTACTCACACAACAGAACACCGTTCTCCAGAGAAGCTCGAAAATCCTTTGTTTCAAAATGCTTCTCTGTTACTGCCTGAAAAAAACAAGATTTGGGTATTAATTTTCTCTTAATCAGGGTTAATACAGTCAAATTTAGCATTAGATTAATTAATATGCATCTAATGTTATCTTGAAGGATGTGCATATATCATCAAAAGTTGTCCCCAATAGGAAATTACATGTGGTTCTATGTTACAAAGAGAGAGATGAGCCATTTTAGTATTAACAAATATAAACAGGAAAAAAAAAAAAACCCACGATGAGAGTTTTCTGTAATGGAACCATTTTATGGGTAATCAACAAAAGTTAGAAGCTACATTTCCAGCATCTTTTCTATAAAAATTCTATGGGCAATCTAGCCTACTAAGAGTAAATAAAAACAGATTAAGATATAAACTTGAAATATCAACTCTATGCACATCATTAATTTCAATTCCATCCTTCAATTCCTCAAGTTTCATGACAAAGCTGAATTGCAAAGGGCATGCTCTCCTTAAATGGATTCATGGACTGGCCCTGATTTGTGTAATGAGCCATATTTACTGAAACATCCTAGAGAGAGGGCTATGAAATCCTGACACAGAGAGACAAAAGACAGGCACGGAAGACGGTACGTACTTTAAACAGACAATTCCCCACTTAAGGCTATGACATAAGAACAGACCACCTACAGTTACCACAACCAATGTTCCTTAGTGAAGCCCCTGGAAAAATATGTACAGATCCTGTCTCTTGAGGGTGGAGTAGCTGAGAGGAAAGGGGGTCTCAGAGAGGCCAGAGTAGGAATAAGCTGTTCCAAGAACAAGTCCTGACACTGGGTCCCCAGTTAAGGTGTGGGCAGTGTGCACGGCAATAGCAGTGACCCCAGTGGACCTACAGATGTATCCACCACCTGCAGGCAGGAGTCCTTGCTCCACCTGCCACTTCAGGGAGAAATACCATATTGGAAATCTGATTTGGGAAGTCCCTGATCTTAAACCCTAAGTAGCTACGAATCTCCTGCTGTCCTTACTCACCACGGCTAGGTCTTCAGCCCACCTACAATCCCTGTATGCATTCCGCATCTTTTCCATGGTGCCCAACATCACCACGGCTAGGCATATTGTCTGTTAACTGACAAGCAGTTATTTTGTAGAACAGAAGTTAGTTTCTCATAAGCTGGTTCTGTAATTATGGATGGGAGCCTGGGCCAGGAGGTAACACACTCAAACACAAGAAGTAGGGGATCCCTTCCCATACACAGCATTAATCTACAAAAAGGCTACATTGCCCCATGAATTGAACATTGGCTGAGTATCTCTGTTACAGGCACTTATCTGGATGGTGGAGATCTAAAGAAAAAAAATGCAGAAGCTCTTCCCTCAAGGACCTCACAGCCACATAAGTAAAACACGAAGTTTAAAAATGCAATAAAACAGGGGCTCCTGGGTGGCTTAGTTGTTAAGTATCTGCCTTTGGCTCACGTCATGGTCCTGGGATCCTGGAATCGAGCCCAACATTGGGCTCCCTGCTCAGCGGGAAGTCTGCTTCTCCCGCTCCTACTCCCCCGTTTGTGTTCCTCTCTCACTGTCTCTCTGTCAAATAAATAAATAAAATAAAATAAAATAATAAAATAAAATAAAATAAAAATGCAATAAAACATATCCAAACAGAGTGGTACATTCCTTTGGGGAAAACCTTGAGTGCCTCATGGATTACTCCAGCTAGCCAGGTGCTCATGGTTTGTGCAGCACAAACTCTCTTGAATTTTGCCCCAAAGAGATCCAAAATAAACTCAAGATGAGCACTGAGGGGCGCTTGGGTGGCTCAATCAGTTAAGCGTCTTGATTTTGGCTCAGGTCATGATCTTAGAGTCCTGGGATCGAGCCCTGCATCAAGCTCCGAGCTAAGTGGGGAGTCTGCTTGAGGATTCTCTCTCCCTCTGCCCACATGCCCCCACTCACTCTCTCTCTCTCTCAAAAATAAATAAATGATAAAAAAAAAAAAAAGGTGAGCATTGATCCCAACTAGTAAAAACACAGTAAGATCTCATTTATCTGGGAACTCCTATCCAAAGCCAAAAAGGCATGAAAAAGTCCCAGGAACACCCAAAACAGATGTCAAAGTCCATTCTCTCTAGTCAGGACAGCCCCCTCAGAGCCCCCAATACTTAATTATCCACTCCTGACACAATCTGGTGATTAAGTTCCCACATTAACCTAGAGTAGAAGAAGTGAGTTAGAAGAAAGAAGAGTTGTACCTATTGACACATGGAGGGCAGTGAAGAGTGACAGTCAATGGCCCTGAATGGGGCCGATCAAGAGGGCAGGGCAGCCAATGGCAAAATGGAAAGAGAAAGGGCTCATGTCAGACAAAAGTATATTCATACTCCACTTTCATTACCTAAGAGCTGTCTGATCTTAAGCAAGTTAAATAACCTCTCTGAACCTGTCTACACATCTGAAACAAGGGAAGTATCACCTACTTACTAGCTTGCAATGGCCAAGATGCTATGCAATCAAATACCTAAGGGTAGCTAACAGTTTAAAGCTTAACCTCATCACAGGGACTGACCTTTGAGTTAGCACTCTGACAACACACTCTGAAAATTAACCCTCCGAGGAACACCTCTGCACCATAGATAAAGCCGGGTTACATTCCGAATATGAAGTAGAAATAATGAAATATACAGAGATATTCAGAAAGCCCAAGTATCCAGAATGGTTTATTCCCAGAAAAAGACTACAGAAAGGCAAAAATCATAGTACCTGGATTTTGGACCACCCCTATCCATATGTCAAAATATTAACCTACTCCTGTGTATGTGTATATGTATATATACACTCTTGTATATAATACATATATATTAATCTAAATGATAAAATTAAAATGATACAAAATCTAAATAAATCTAAATAATGATATAAAATGAGACTCCATTTAAACTGTATTTCTAAAGAAGACTGAATATAAAAGCTAAACAAAGATTTTTAAATAACAGTCCATATTTAGGGGCCTAGGAATCTGGCAAACTCTGTACATTACTGAAGGTGTTATAAAATAATACAACCTTTCTAGAATGCAATTTGTGATATGTATTTGAAGTCTTAAGTTTGCATACTCTGAAGCACACAAGTGCAGATCCAGGAATTTATACTAAGACAACAGGACAAGAATGCAGAGACACGACACAAGAATTGTCTCACAGCATTATGTGGAATAGGAACAATTATAAACATCATGAATGTCCATTAAGAAATTGGTTAAATTAACCATTCACAAAGATAAACTCAAAGTGGATGAAAGACCTCAATGTGAGACAGGAATCTATCAAAATCCTAGAGGAGAACATAGGCAATAACCTCTTTGACATCACCCACAGCAACTTCTTTCAAGATACATCTCCAAAAGCTAGTGAAACAAAAGCAAAAATGAACTTTTGGGACTTCATCAAGATAAAAAGCTTCTGCACAGCAAAGGAAACAGTCAACAAAACAAAGAGGCAACCCAAAGAATGGGAGAAGATATTTGCAAATGACACTACAGATAAAGGGCTGGTATCCAAGATCTATAAAGAGCTTCTCAAATTCAACACCTAAAAAACAAATAATCAAGTCAAAAAGTGGGCAGAAGATATGAAAAGACACTTCTCTGAAGAAGACATACAAATGGCTAACAGACACATGAAAAAGTGTTCATCATCATTAGCCATCAAGGAAATTCAAATCAAAACCACACTGAGATACCACCTTACACCAGTTAGAATGGCAAAAATGGACAGGGAAAGAAACAACAAATGTTGGAGAGGTTGTGGAGAAAGGGGAACCCTCTTACACTGTTGGTGGGAATGCAAGTTGGTACAGCCACTTTGGAAAACAGTGTGGAGGTGCCTCAAAAATTTAAAAATGGAGCTACCCCATGACCCAGCAATTGCACTCCTGGGTATTTACCCCAAAGACACAGATATAGTGAAAAGAAGGGCCATATGCACCCCAATGTTCATAGCAACAATGTCCGCAATAGCCAAACTGTGGAAAGAGCCGAGATGCCCTTCAACAGATGAATGGATAAAGAAGATGTGGTCCATATATACAATGGAATATTACTCAGCCATCAGAAAGGATGAATACCCAACTTTTACATCAACATGGATGGGACTGGAGGAGATTATGCTAAGTGAAATAAGTCAAGCAGAGAAAGTCAATTATCATATGGTTTCACTTATTTGTGGAACATAAGGAATAGCATGGAGGACACTAGGAGAAGGAAGGGAAAAATGAGGGGGGGGGAATTGGAGGGAGAGATGAACCATGAGAGACTATAGACTCTGAGAAACAAACAGGGTTTTAGAGGGGAGGAGGGAGAGGAGATTGGTTAGCCCAGTGATGGGTATTAAGGAGGGCACGTACTGCATGGAGCACTGGGTGTTATACGAAAACAATGGATTATGGAACACATCAAAAGCTAATGATGTATTTATGGTGACTAACATAACATAATAAAATTTAAAAAAAAAAAGTATGTACTTAACTAAGCATGCTAACCTCCAAGAAACCTTTCTTTGAAGAGTTAAGGGATTTGTCTGATCATCACATTTAGCAAGATAAAATTGCTATTTTAAATTGAAATAAAATTATTTCTATTTTTACATAAAAAAATAAATTTTATGACTCTAAAAAAAAAAGAAATTGGTTAAATTATGATAAAACCATAAAACAGAAAACTACATGAAATTTAAACTCACATTATGAAAGTAGTTTACTTGTAAAGAATACTTAATGTAGGGGCGCCTGGGTGGCTCAGTCGGTTAAACGTCTCCCTTCGGCTCCGGTCATGATCCCGGGATCCTGGGATCAAGCCCCAAGTCAGGCTCCCTGCTCAATGGGGATCCTGCTTCTCCCTCTCCCTCTGCCACTCCCCCTCTGTCCCTATCCCTGCTTGTGCTCCCTCTCTCTCTAATAAATAAATAAAATCTTTAAAAAAAAAAACACTTAACGTATTAATTATAAAGTAATTTATGGACTACATGAAATATACCAATTACTACAACTCTAT